GATAAATTTGGTTATTTTGACCGATTACCAAATAATTTATATAAATATTTTTTATACAAAAYAATWATTATATTATTATTATTTTATTTATGATACACAGTTATAATTTTATAAACTGAGATGCACTGAGTGATACCTATATTATTATTATTTTCAATTCTGATGTTTGGATTAATTTATGATTATTATTTTGCTATAAAATACAATTTAGCTACATAAATGAMCTACTTCTTTATAATTCATGTAGAATAATCTCATTCTCCGTAGGTTTAAAAATAAATATACAACTACTAAAAATTTAAACCATTAAAACAAAATAATTACAGACATGGATCTACATTAGTCAAACTTGATGTGGATACTATTAAAGGAGGCTTATCTTTGGATCAGGATTTTTTAGTAGATTTTGGAAAAGAACCCGATGGTCCTATCATGGCACATGAAACAAGGTAAATATTGTCATATTGAATTATTGAACAAACTACCTATATAAATTGAATTAATGTTAATGATAAATGACATATATGATGAAATTAAATACTCAAGAATAAAATAAAATAGGTTGATGTTTAATTTTTTTGTAACTTATAGAATTAATTAGAAWTTACTATAATAATACTGCCATTAATTATTTTTATTTTATTCAAAATAGTTGCCTATTGTGTAGTTTTTAATCTTATAAATCCTGAGTATTTATCTGTTGATGTTGTTTAAAGTTTAAATTTTAATATTTTTTAAGACCTCTAAGAAAAAAAAGTTCTGATTTATTCCAAAATAGTGATGGATCAATGGGGAATAGTATTTTTTAATTAAGGRGAAAAAAGTCATACTTGCATTATATATATTTCCATAATATTAATATATTATAAAAAGAAATTATGAAATATGTATTTAATATATTCATACGGTCATTTATCATTGTACACATCTGCAATTTTGTAAAATTGTGCTGTAATATGACATTTTATTTACCATAGGTATCCAGGAGGTGATTGTACTTCAGATATTTGGTTGGCTG